CAGTTATCTCTACTATAGTATTTGAGATATTAGTTTTAACAGTTTTCAAGACAACAATCTCTTTTATAATGTTTAAAACTGTTATATTGCTACATATTGTGAATGAAAGTTTTGTACATAATGTTCATGTATAATATATCTGTTTTATAAATAGGTAATGGTAAAATAAGTAAATAAATTTGCATTTTATTGTTTTGTTTTATTACATATGTATCACAATTAGGAAAACCATAGCTTATCCTCTAATACATATAAATAGCCATAGAAATTTAATTCAGATAAAAACAAACTATTTTTTAAATAATTTATTAACTTTAACAATACACAAAGTGTGCTATACGATTTTATTCTATTCAGTACAGTGAGAAATAGTATTTGGAATGAAATAGTTTTATATTTTTGACATGAGAAATTACATTCGCATTGGCTCTACATATTTTTGTAATTTATATAATATCAAAAGTAGAATATGAATAAAGATTTATTGATGGCCTAATACACCTTCTTTGTTCTTTGTTTATATAGGTTTAAAATATCACTAATATGTCTGTCTTTTAGCCTTCATGTCATCACTAATCACTATCATTGTCAATATCTAATAATAGTGTCTGAACTCTTCCATCCTACATTTACCTATTTTATACAAGCTTAACTATAAATTTTTTGACTACGTTTTCTTCCCCTTAACGAAAACTCCCAAAAATATATTGCGTTTCTCGTATATATAGTATATCCGGTGTAAAAACTAGCTTATGTGTATATATTGGCTGCGTTCAGCAGACTCAACAGTTCAGGAACTGTCCAGTATTTTTCTGCTAAATGCCTTCTATATTAGCGCTGTTTCGAGACATGTTTGATGTTTTGACGTTACATTTAGTAGTGTCTTTCGTTTGCGCTGCCTATCTCTAGCTTAAACTACCTAAATAATAATTAATAACTACCTTATATAACAACTTTAATAATTAGTTTACCTGGTGAATGGGCGGAACGACGCGATACTTTTGTTCTCCGAGACGTTACCTTTCATTTTGTCGCGTTTATTTAATCTATTTTTAGAACATGACATAAAACAACTTTAATTATTAACGTTCTGGATATTAAAAATAAAACAATTGGCTCGTCACTCATCGAATCTGGTAAATGATCATTATAAACAAATTCAAAAAATTATTAAATAAATAAATAATAGTAGTAGTGTCTGGATTTTTGGGTGCCGCACCCATTCGTTTTTTGAAGGGACAGAGTGTAAAAAGACAAACTACGTCGATTTTAGTGCAGTAGGTCCACTCATTGCCAAATTGTTTAGCACCCAAATGCACCCAAAACGCGAACCTTCCCCAAAACTGTAACTAGCACCCAAATATATATAGGGGAGACCGGGGCAACATCGGCATGTTAAGCTTTACTTAAATTTTGTGTAATAAATACTGCTGTAAACTGAAAAAAAAAGCTTTGCATATTGTCTATTGGAATGTTATCTTACTATATAACTGGTTAAAATCAGTTTGGAAATAAAAATAATTAAAATAATTACAACTTTACAAGAAGAGAGAAATTGACGAAGTTGCCCCGGGTATAGGGGCAAGATCGGCAACTTCTCTCTTTTTGTAAAGTTGTAATTATTTTAATTATTTTTATTAAAGTTGCCCCTGGTATAGGGGCAACAGTAATGGGGCAAGATAGGCACGTATATAAAATTATGTTATTAACAATGTATAAGTTGGAATTCACTATTAAAACAAAGAAATACAAATCCAACACCCATTTAATATTATTACAACGAAATGCAAGTTCAAAGACATATATACATGAATAACAAATGCAAACATGTTTTCATTTATCATCTGTTTGATTTTTATCCTTTGCTTCTAATGTGGCTTTATGTTGCCGATCTTACCCCGCTAGTCATGATTTCGAAACATTAAGTACAACCCTGAGAACAGAATGCCAAGCCACGATCTGGCCACGTGAATAAGTTGAAGTTACATCCTTCTAACAGGAAAAGTAACTTTCGTTATCATGGAATTATAACAAAACCTGCCAATTCAATATAAATGGAAAAAAAATATTATATGGAATTGAACGAAAATGAAAATTTGCTTGATAATTCAACTACGCTTGTTGGAGAACAATAAAAACACTACACTCAACAAGCCACCAATAAAACTCAACTGCCTAACCTATAACCAAAGTCTCCTTTTAATTTGTTTTTAAAAAAAAGCGCTTGACAAACTTGCCCCGCATGCCGAAGTTGCCCCGGTCTCCCCTATATATATATATTGCACCTAGCTTTCCCCTTTTTTTACATTTTCAAAGAATATGTTGGCAATTATCTCTTTTTTGGTGGTTTTTATTCATTTACTTGAGGGGGAAAAACAAATTCGTTAAACGGGACCACCTATGCTGAGGAAAAAATACGGTAATTAGTTTACTGTCTTCTTTTGTTGCGAGAAAAGGGGGAAAAGGAATTTTCTGGACTAAACAACTAAACCTTAGGGTTGTTATAAGAATGTTAAACAGATTCACTGAAAATCTGCAACACGTGCAACACTAGATTGTTCTTTTCTAAAGAAAGAACAATCTAGAACAGCGCTGTCCAACTTATCATAGCCCGCGGGCCATATTTTCTTCACCAAACATTTCGGGGGCCAAGAAAGTTGATAAACCACATGACATTTGCATAGTGCTACGGTTCAGTAAGCACTAATTGGTCAGCGAGTCCGATGTTGACGCTATAAAAAGGCGACAGTTCGACACACCGGATATACGTCACTCTTGTCTAAGTTCGACTTGGGAATTTTATTGTTCAATAATAAATGTGAATTCTTCTTCCTGGAAAAATAAGACATTCCCTGAAAATAAGACCTAGCGCATTTTTCAGAGCAAAAATTAATATAAGACACTGTCTTATTTTCGGGGAAACACGGTAGTAAAATAATTTTAATATTAATAATAATAATTTAGTAACAAATTTATTCATAGTAAAATGTACTCGCGGGCCGTAAAAATTATTTGGCGGGCCATATACGGCCCGCGGGCCGCCAGTTGGACAGCGCTGATCTAGAAAATTCTGTATTGATGTCACCTTACCCGGACTTGTGAGCGCAACAGTTCCAATTTCCTTTGTTCGGTGTAGGCGACATTACAAAATGACAAAATTGTCCGCATTTAAACTGAACATTTTAGCAAATAAGTTTAAAGATGAAGGCGAATGCATAGACGGAAAAGTTCTTCGCTGTTCCATTTGCAATTATGTAATATCGGTTGACGTAAAACACCAAGAAACAACAATCACGTGGCACGTGAGTTCAGAAAAGCATAGGGAAGTCAAATAGAAAAGGAAGTATTTCAAACAGACAATTATAGGAGCCGCATTTCAGAGGAGAAGAATCTCACAAGTCAGAAGGTAAATAATACATTTTATGCAGATTTAACGACCGCTCTTCTGCAGGCAAATATACCCTTACACAAGGTAAACAATCCAGCCTTTAAGTCATTTCTCCAGAAATATACAGGAAAGCTTGTCCCGACAAGAGCACGCTTAGAAAAAACTACGTAAAACCAGTTTATGATCAAACCACATCTAAAATCCCGGACGTTGTCGAAGACAATCCCGTAATGTTCATACTGGACGAAACAACGAATTCCACAAAACGGTATATGCCAAACGTTCTCGTTGCACCTCTGACCGGATGCGATGTACAGTACAATCAATGTTGTTCAAAATATACCAACTTGAAAATACGAACTCAACTACAGTGTCCCGAGCTTTCAAAGATGTTTGCATCAAGTTGTGGCCAAATGGTGTCCAGTACGAAAAAGTTTGGCTTGTCGTTACAGATCAAGCATCTTACATGTCAGCATTCTTAAATTTAAAGTGCATGTACAACAACACAAAGCATGTGACTTGTCTTTCCCATGTCCTACACTGAGTAATTAAACGTATTCGTGTAGAATATAGCAAGGCCAACGACTTCTTTTCGAAAATAAAAATGGTTCTCCTCTAGTGTCCTAGTCGGGAGCGCTTGTACCAAGACGTAACTGGGCTACCATTATCACCCACTCCAGTGGACACCCGTTGGGGGTCTTGGATAAACAGTGTGGTATTATACTGCGAGAACTTCAATGCGTTTATCAACGAATTTCCCTAGCGATTCTGCGACCGTCAACAGTGTCAAGAAACTGATCTCTGATCTAGTAATGACCACAGATTTCTACTCCGTGCGTTCGTACAAATTATTAGTGGATAAAATCAACGAGCTGGAAAGACGTAAAACTGAAATGCTGGATCAGTGGAATGTAAGTCAGGCGCTTGATGTACTGGACGGTTTTGCCCTGGCAAAACTTAGATCTAATTTATCAAAAAAATCCCGATTTGAAAAATATCTTGGATTGCAGTGAACTAGAATTCTGAGTAAAAATGAAACATGCCCCCTTAACCTCGGTCGACGTAGAAAGATCTTTTTCCCTGTATAAAGACATTCTATCCTCCAAACGAGAAAACTTCACTTTTAAGAACATTGAAATGGTTACTGTTGTAAATTATAATGCTCATCTTTATGTATAAATTGCAATAAACAACTATGTAGTTTGTAAATATAATTTTTCTTCTTGGTTTCTGTCTTAATAATACAGCATTTTAAAACACCCAAACGAGCACCCAATCCATTGTAAAAATGCACCCAAAAATCCGGACCTTAAATATTAGTAACCATTCTAAAAATCTAAAACATTTATTGTCTTCTGCTCGAATTTCCAATTAAATAAGTGTTAGATTATTTCCGTTTCCCCAACTAAGTTTAGTATGTGGCTGCGACTAAATGAGCATCTTGGAAAAGATACAGCGGCAATTACTCGTACAGCCTCATACGCTCTGTGGAAAAATATGCAAATTGGCCCAGGTATGTCATACCAGTTAAGAGCGAATGGCTAGGCTGCGATACGATACACGACGCCCCCTTTATCTCCTCACCCTCTCGACCTCTAACCACCAAAATTTAATAGCATCGATAAAGGCCACCGTGGCAAATTTCGTTTCTTAAACGGAACGTTCTTCCGGAAGCGAGTTTGATTAATTAATTAAATTAACTAAGCCAAAACGTACTTGGATAGTAATCACGCAGCCGTGTACTTTTCGCCGGCGGTGTTTAATCGACGAATTTATTAAGAACGGGAGGAATCGAAACGAGACGAAGGACGTCGGAGTCGGAGATAACGAAAGAAAAAACAATAAATAAAAAGAAAGAGTTAACGAGAGGTGGCGCCCGCGTAGGAAAATGGCAACGGCCGTTTGCAGGCACGTGTTCGTCAAGTGCCAGCGATTTCGCCTTCCGTATCGACCCAGTTTTTCTGGCTGGCGAAACTGGTATTTGGGAAACGGTAAACGATCCGTTCACGTCTCCGCCGCTTCCTTTTCCGGTCAGTGTTTCTTTTGTTTTTATATTTTTTACTGTAAGCTCGGTCTCTCCATCGACACGAGAGAATAATACTTGTTTCCAATCCTAGCGATAATTCGCTAAAGACTAGCAGATAATGCCTAATTGACTTTTTTAATTAAACCGGAATATAAATTTCGCATCCGCAAATTGGGCGTCGTTCGTATAAAACGGCGATTCAGAAAGTCGTCGGAAGGACGCTTATCGAAGGGGGAGAGGCCGTCCCGCGTGACTAAAGATTTGGAGAAGGCGGGCGAGATAGCGTTTGTTACGATGCGATGAAGAGAACAGATTAGTAGACAATTCCTTCTATCAGAGAACTTCGGAAAGAAAAACGGCTTTTGAGGCTTTGGAATTGGCCGACTTCGACGTGTCGAAGATTTCAATTCCGTGCCCCGACCTTGGCATTTAATGTAGAAATAACTGTGAAGATAAAGAAACGAAATTTGAGAAGGTAACTTGTACAGTACGTAAGGGGCATTGATGCTATTAAATTTTGGTAGTGAAAGGTCGAGGAGATGGAGAGATAGAGGATGGTCACGTGTCATAACTTGGAAGGGGTCGGACTGGACGAAGAATTTACTTGTTAGAATTTAAGGTGTTTTATAAAATGCATCTCTACTCTGAAAATTAAGTCTTTTGCTATTTTACAATAATTAAAAATATATAAAGTTTTTATAACAATATCTCATAACAGATGGCATCGCATACAATTTTAGTTATTTATTTTGATTAATAATATAAATGTTATAAAAGCCGGGAAAGTTATGCAACTGGTTACTAGATTTTTTTTATAGTGGATAGAATGATCTTAGTTGTATATTTTGAGAATATACAACTCTGAATTTTTTAGGATGTATTTATGATTCTCTTAAATTTATCCTATGCCATATTTGTACTAAGTATGTGTCGACAAATAACTTTAACTGGCATTACCTGTGCATTTTACATTGCGTAAATGTTTTTAGCTACTTTTTTGACTTTCCTTTTGCGGAATGCTTTACGTTAGAATGCTGCTATATTCTGTGACTTTGTACGGTTAACTCCAACAGTATCTACAAAAATTAAAGATTTGGATTGTCGCGCTTTTAGTCGAATGCCGATGAATTATTTAATTTATAAAATATGGCACTCTGGTTTCTGGGAATTGTAGGTGTGTTATAAAGATTGTATGTAAAATAAAACAAAATTTTATTATAAAGTTTTATTATGTCTATATATATATATATATATCAGACATGGGTAAATGCTGCTCTTGCTGAAAGTGTTAATTTCTGCTTTTTATTATTATTTTTACAATTTTATTTCCACAATTTAATGAAAATATGTTTATTAAAAAAATTCAATATTTATTTTATATTGTATTTATATTATATAATAAAATTGTGGTACAGAATAAAAAAGTACAGAACTGCGGCTCCCATGCATTTTGCAAAACCTACATTTCGGGTCCCACTGAACTCTTGCTTGCCCACCCCTGTTATATTCCATCATGAGTGCTTTTTTAACGTTATTTTAATGATCGAAATTCTTTAAATCTTCGTGAGATCGAAATCAAATGCTTTCTTATTGAAATGTAAATACAATCAAGGTGACTCGAAAAGGCTAATATTTAAATATAAAATAAAATATTTAAAATTAAATATTTCATTAAAAAATTTTATGAAAATAGTTTTTATGGTTTTTTGTTAAATACAGCATTAAAAATTGATTTTTTAAAAATATAATAGTGATGGGATAAAAGAAATTATAAATTAAGGTTAATCTTACCTACGTGCACCGTGATGGCTGCACTTCCGGAATCTCGATAGCATTTGCGATTAGAAATGCAAATTTAAAATTAATTGTTTTATTGTAGCATTAATATTAATTTATACCAATGGATAATAACCAGCAAATATAATGAACACCATGAAGAATTAGCAACAGAATACCTATACGATTTATCTCCATGAAAT